TTGCATTTTTGTTTAAATTCCAATGACTTCTGAGGATTTTCTTCTGGAGTAAAGAGCAAAGACTTGTTTCTATTGATCAGCATGGATGTGGCGAGCGAGCGTTTTGATTGGGCTTAAAGTACAACTTAAGAGAAAGCAATTTATAAAACGCAATTTGAAAAACCTCAATAAAAAGAAAATAGATCAAAGTAAAATCTGTCAAAAGTAATAATTATATAACATAGAAAATAGGAAATTGATTTAAAAAAGGATGACAAAAAATAAAAGTTAAAACATAGATTTAAAGAATATATATATATAATTAAATGTGAGAAAACAGCAAAGTTACTCTCCAAACCTTTTAATGATTAAAATGTTTTTGAAAGTTTAATTTCTGGCTTGTTTCATTTTTTAAATTCCCATTTGCAGAATTTGCTCTTGGAACAAACTCACTCCATAATTTGAAACAAAGATGCAGAACAAACCGTGTTCACATCAGCTCCCTGATGAATCAACCTTGCTGTGATATCCTGATGGAGGATCCCTGCCGCCATGTGCAGCGGCGTCATCCCTCTGCTGTCAACAGCGTTTACATCAGCACCATAGCTGATCAGGATGGAGACAGCAGGCAGGGCTTGGTAACGTACCGAGACATGAAGAGCCGTTGGCTGACCTCTTTCATCCATCTACCAATATATATACATTGGTTAGATGATGTCTTACAGTGAATTTGATAGTTTATTGTGGGTAAGAAGTGTCAGACCTCCTTACCCGTGCGTTGACATTAGCTCCATGATCACAGAGGAGCCGTAAGCAGGCCTCAGCCTGCCTGCTTTCTCTCAGCATAGAGCTCCAGTACTTGGAGGAAGGTTTTTTCCGGGTCATTAAGGCAGTCGGCCAGTTGATGATGACCAGATGTAGTGGAATCCGACCGAGCTGGTCTCTGCGAAATAAACAGTGTTGGAAACACTGGCATTTCACATTCAAAGGAAAAATAATATGTGGGCTGTTTTCTTCCTGGTTTCCCTGTTTAGCAGGAAGTGTAAAAATAACCAGTAGCTTTCAGATTTTTGTTGAAACATTTTTGTGTTTTCTTACTTACTTAAAGTCTGCGTCAGCTCCTGCTGACAGCAAACTCTGAATGCTCCGTGCTCTTCTGAAGGCAGCAGCCAGGTGAAGGGGACAGACGGAGCCCTAAGGCAGAGAGGGAAACTTCAATGTAAAAGTTCTGTCTTTGAGTCTCTGCTTTGTTAGCTTTGAAATGCTTCTAAGCATAAACTGAGTCAGAGCATTTCTGTGTTTAGATTGTTAGAATATTTATTACTGATGATGTGTGAGTCTGTTAAACCCTCATAGTACCTGGCAGGTGTGTGTCAGAACTAATGTTTTCCCAAGTAGTTTATCTCATTAGGACAGTTCCTCTCAGGATAAAAAGTCGTCTTCATTATTTATGAGGCAAAGATTTAGTAATGGAATGAGAGCGCTGTCCTTGATCTAATAACATATTGTAGTATTTTGATAAGACCATGGATGTCTCCAAATTTACAAATGTATATTGTGTTGTAATTATGTGATAGTGTGGCGGACTGGAGTGTATAAAATGCTTCTCTAACTGTGATTGGTAAGAAGCTGCCTTCTGTAACTTTAAGCAGGTTCTTTGGTCTGAGTAAGATTATAATTTATTTTAAAATCTGTTGTCACGTCTCCTGGTTGTTAAAAGAATTTGTACTGAGTGATCTCTTCTCAGGAAAAGAAATGGAGATAGAAAGTGTCAATGTGTAAACAGAGCTTTCCATAACTAAGTTCACATTATTAAGGCGGTATTATTATTTCTGATTTAGAGATGTATTTCCATAGAAGCTTGTGTTACCTTCCAGAATGCTCCAGATGCACCTTCCTGTATCTCAATCTGACAGTTGCTCCCATATTTCCTCACCATCTCTTCAATTCCTCTGACGTTCTCATTCATGACAGCCGTGTAGGATTCATTACCGTACGTTTTGGTTACCCTACCTTCCACATATCTGTCTTTGCGCTGCTCCTCGCCCATTGCGGGTTTTCGTAGACTTACTTCTTTCAGTTTCTTCTTTAAAGAGATGGTGGCTTCGAATCAAGTAATTCTGGTTATTTTGCTCCAGCTCTGAAGACTTATTGTAGAATAATCAGCAGCTTCCTCTTTTTTTGTGTTCGCTGTTTTCTTTTACTACTTCTGCTTTAGTGTTTTTGGTTTGTTTTTGTTTTTTCATGTCTAATTTCATCATATTGGGCTGTACTGGTCTAACCTTGATGCTCAGGCTTCCTCCTACATCTGATAACTCCTGCCTGCAGTCGGGGCCTCTTTAGAGGGGGTGTTGACACCCTCCCTCTGTGTTTGTGTCTCTTGTTTTTGTATTTTTGGATGCGGTTACTACTTTGCAAAAACTGCCAGTGTAGCATTTATTTTTGTTACGAAAAATTAGGATTTTATTTATTAATAGCGGCTGATTTGGTATTCTCTCCTGTTTTAAATTTGAACATTTGCATGAATGCCCTGTAGTTCATTATTGTTATAAAAACATACTTGTAAAAACAATGCAGACATAAGCCTTGATTAGATGAAACAGGATGTTTTTGAAGCTGTTAAAGTTCTCTGTTCACCTGGCTTGGTGACAAAAACCAGTAGAGCGTTGTGGCTTTATTGATGCATCACACATCTAATAAATATTTATCCTTATTTATTAGAATAAGTT